GAAACTAAGTACATAGAAGAGAGGGGGAAGGCAGAGCGGTAGTGCCAGGAATACAGCTTTGTATCGCCTCATGGCATGGAATTTTAAAAATCATTCCAACACAAGAAGATTTGGCATCTATTATTGAGAAAGCTATCCAACCACTCATGGATGAACTAACATTTATTAAGGATCACTTAAAAGAAATTAGTGCCACCTACACATACTGGGAGCGCACTCTAGCCTAGCAACTTACCCTTAAAAGAAATGCGCTATATGCCGAAATTCACACCCGGGACTCGGACGTCCTCGTCCGACGAATAATAGTGAACACACATAACAAATTATAACGAATACTGTGTCAATCCTATGTATGTTACATACGTAATATAAAACGCTGCTTACCCTCACACCCTAGAACTGCGGAGAAAGACAAAGAGGCTGATCCAAGAAAGAATAGCAATAGATGACAGCAGAGACGGTCCCTGACAGACCCCATGAACAAATGTTAATAAGCTGCCTCGGTATACTAGGTATCCCCCGCTAACCAACCATCAAGGTGTCACATAATATAGCAACATAAGGACCTGTTTGATAAAAAGAATCACAGTACAAGTGCAATTTCATGAATACCAATGTCAATGACTTGTTTAACACAAAGCAATGTTGTACAACTGCAATTTCGTGATTTAAACCTTTTGTCCCCCCTTCCCTTTTTACTTTCTGTACCCCTACCCTTTTATATGACAAAACAATAAAAATTGTCAAATTGGAAAAAAAAGAAATTAGTGCCAGGGTGGCTACTTTGGAAGAAGATACCTTCAAGGTGGCAAATACCATAGACACCGTGAATTTGAAGTTATTCCAACAACAGAAAAAAATCCAGACCCTAAAAGACCCAAATGAGGATTTACAAAACAGGGGCAGAAGACAAAACCTTAGAGTCAGGGCATCCCTGAATCAATTAATCCTGAAACTATTATGGAAACACTGCAAAATCTGTTTAGGCAGATCTTACTGAGACCCTTAGATGACCTTTAAATTAACATTGATCGGGCACATCATCGGATTCGGAGATCGACAAATGCCTCACAATCCTTTCATAGAGATGTTCTTTGCTGTATGCATAATTTTACAGAGAAAGAGGAAATTATACGTAATTATAGGAGAATGGACCAGATATTGATTGCAGATTCCCCGATCTATATCTATCCGGATATCTCACCGGCAACTCTTCAATTGAGAAGAGTACTTCACCCACTGATGAAAATCTTACAAGAAAAAGGGTTGAAATATAAGTGGGGGATCCCCTTCTCACTATCAGTATCTAAGAATGGGAAAACTTTCACTCTTAAAAAAGGAGGGAATATCCCCAAGTTCATGGAACGTTTAGAATTGATAGAAATTCCAGACTGGCCACAGGATCAGTTGGTTTCGGCTCCTTTTTTTGGATCCTGGAACATCATGGGAGATTAAACCCCAAAAACGAAAAAGGAGATCTTTAGCCCCCCGGGACTCTCAGATTCAAGGAGAACTTACCCTGAGGGTAATTTACTATAATATATTGATGCATATGAAATGATGGAAAGAACTTTTTTTTTCTCTCCTCTTAAGTGGTCTCTGATGAAAAAGAAAATATAATGTACATTATTGAAAACTATGGGAGATGGTCTATAATGTTATTTTTTTTCCTAAAAAAGTCCTCAAAGGAAAAAAAAAAAAGGACTATAATGTATATTATTGAAACTAATAGGAGATGGGTATTATGTCTTTCTTTCTATTCTTTAACCCCTTAAGGACCGTGGACTTACTAGGTACGTCCGACAAAAAACAGTCCTTAAGGACCTAGTTACGTCTGTGGCAAATATGAGCGCTGGAAGCGATAGTGATCGCTTCCAGATGCTCTAAGGGTATTGCAGCAATGCCTCGAGGTTGAGGCATCCTGCAATACCTCTCCTGACTGCCAGGCTGCCGAGTGATCACTCCCGGGGTTGCCCCAAGTGGTGCCCGGCAGTGTAGCAGAGCATCGGAAGCCATCAGGCAGGCTTTCGAAACTGTGTGCCTCGAGGAGTCGAGGCACTCAGTGAAGACATTATATCAAAAGCCAATTCCTCTCTCTCATTTCCAGCTACTTGTTATTAAACAAATAGAAGAATATCTTACTTATACAGCAAGCATGTAAAACTCAAAGTACCGTATAAAAAAACAAAAACAAACCCAGCATCCCCCTCTACTAAACCCCAGCACACCCCCCATATACTAAACCCCAGCACCCCCCCAAATACTAAATCCCAGAACACGGCATCACTACAGACGGGGCGCACGAGGAAGCAGTGAGGAGCAGGAAGACTGAGCTCCTCCAGTGACCTGAGTCCTGGCCGGGTAAATTTTAGCAGAGTACGCACCTACAATGTGGAGAAAACAGGTGCCTACTCTGCTTTAACACTAAGCATGAACTCGCGGCTCGCTGGGCCACAAAGTTGTCCATTGTGGGCTACATGCAGGCTGTAGGCCGCGAGTTTGACATGCTTGTTCTACAGTATAGAGGCTGGACTTGGGTTTATGTCGCCTTTGACTTAACATAGTTGCATAGTTTTGTTGTCCAAACATAATGCCTGTTAACTTTACTTCTGTTCAAAGTTACAGTCACTTCCACTTTAATATTGCTGAGCTTTTCACTTTTCCCATAAACAGTGCTTTTGAGACTCTGCAATGGTTTCTGTGAGTTGTAGTTCAGTAGCTAACAGAAAGTGGACAAACTATGACTAAGTCATGAAAACCGGAGTAAAAAAATGGAATGTAATGGATAGAGAAAAAATATACCCAAAACGAGAAATAGAATAACTAACTGTAACCAAACATGGTAGTGCAATTTAGATCCCTCTAAAGAACATAAAGCAGGTAACCACATCATGTCTGTAACCCCTTAAGGACCAAACTTCTGGAATAAAAGGGAATCATGACGTGTCACACGTCATATGTCCTTAAGGGGTCCTATCATGATCGCTTCCAGACGCTCTAAGGGTATTGCAGCGATGCCTCGATGTCGAGGCATCCTGCAAAACCTGCCAGGCTGCCGAGTGATCGCTTCCCAGGAGCGATCACTTGAGTGTTGCTCCACGTGGCGCCCGGCAGTGTAGCCGAACATCGGAAGCCATTGGGCAGGCTTCCGATGCTCTGCCTGTGTGCTGAGTGCCTTGAGGGGTCGAAAAAAAATAAAATCAATAAAATAAAAGAGGGGGCAGAGAAAGGACACCGTCTTTTACTGTCCCGATTGCCCTGGATAGCCTGGACTCTGCATTGGGGACTACTTCAAGCGATATCACACACTGGTCCGTTTTTAATTATTTTTTTTACATTTGCCGTTCAGTTTATTTTTTGGTTAAGTTTACTGTTCCTGAGTTTGTTTTTAACTTTTACTGCGCCAGACTATTTTTATGATCAAGTTCAACCTATGAATGGGGGCATGAGTGTACTCAGGAGGCTTTGGAGAAAACAACCTGGAGTGTTTTCTTGCAATAACCAATAATAGACAAAATCACACACAAATGTGTGTGTAAAAAGGAAAATTGAAAAGTTTCCACCACACATTTTCTGCAATTTTTTGGCTAAAACTGTTGCATCAAAACATTCCATATACAATACCTTGGGGTGTCAACTTTTCAAATATATGCACGTTCGTGGCAAGAAAATAAAAGGCCCCCAAAAAGGATATGTAAAAAGGCCCCGAGAAAGAGATGGGCAAAGAAGATATGTCAAATTTGAAAAACATGTCAGAACTTTGGCATTGCAACCCCCAAACAACCCAACAAATCTATGCATAGCTGGTATCACTGTACTCAGGAGATGCTGCTGAACACATAATGGAGCATTTTTTGTCAGTAACACATAACAGGAACTGAGAATCCCAATAGTTACTACCCAATAGTTTAACACAGACTGGTGGTAGAATTAGTGCATGGAAAGTGTTAAAATACCACAATTTGAAATACCCTAGGTGTCTACTTTTCAAAAATATATGGTTTGATGGGAATAAATTACATTGCCTGGCTTCAAAAATGTTCCAAATAGGACATGGGTGGATGATGACCAGATGTAAAAATTCCATGTTGAAAAACTGGAATGCGCACCCCCCAAATAAGGTCTTTTAGCCCCCAGAGAACCCAACACACCTGTACATGATTGGTATCACTGTATTCAGGAGATGTTGCTTAACACATATTGGGGTGTTCTTTGGCAGTAACCCTAAAGTTCTCAGTACATGTATTCTTAAATTGCTTTTTTGGCATAGATTGGTGGTAAAATGATTGCATGAAAAGATTCAAAATACACCTTAATACCTTAGGTTGTCTTTTAAAAAATGTATACATGTGAAGGGTTATTCAGGGATTCCTGACAGATAGTGTTACAAAATAAATTTAGTTAATTTTGAGGAAAAAAAAATCATTTGGAAAGAGCAAAGTGCTACTTGTACTTATTGCCCTATAACTTGCAAAAAAAAGCTAAGAACACGTTAACATTGGGTATTTCTAAACTCAGGATAAAATTTGCATAGGTACCTTATGTACCCATCTGGATCAGGTAAAATATTTAATAAATGTGGCTTTTCTCACGGATGTAGAGAATATCAGGTCTAGTATTAAAGGACCACTATAGGCACCCAGACCACTTCAGCTCAATTAAGTATTCTGGGTGTCAGGTCCCTCTAGTTTTAACCCTGCAGCGGAAAACATAGCAGTTTCAGAGAAACTATGTTTAAACTGAGGATTAATCCAGCCTCTAGTGGCTGTCTCACTGACAGCCACTAGAGGCCGCTTCCGTCCACAGGAAAGCATTGAGTAATGCTTTACTATGGGCTGTTTGAATGTGCGTGCGGCTCTTGCCACGCACGTGCATTCGGTGCTGACGTCAGCAGGAGGAAGAGATGTCACCAGCACCGGAGAAAGGAAAGTGGCTGAAGGTGTTTTAACCCTTTCAACCCAGCGGGGGAGGAGGGGGGCCTAAGGACTACATAGTGCCAGGAAAACGAGTTTGTTTTCCTGGCACTATAGTGGTCCTTTAACGTTTATTTAAACAAAAATAATACACTTGATGTAAATAAAATAATCTTATGGGAGGCCACAAGGTGAAAGAGATTAAAGGAGCACTATAGTGCCAGGAAAACATACTCGTTTTCCTGGCACTATAGTGCCCTGAGGGTGCCCCCACCCTCAGGGTCCCCCTCCCGCCCGGCTCTGGGGAGAGGAAGGGGTTAAACACTTACCTTTCTCCAGCGCCGGGCGGGGAGCTGTACTCCTCCTTGCTCGCGACGTCATCGGCTGAATACGCATGCGCGGCAGGAGCCGCGCGCGCATTCAGCCGGTCGCATAGGAAAGCATTTACAATGCTTTCCTATGGACGCTTGCGTGCGCTCACTGTGATTTTCACTGTGATCAATGAGACAGCCACTAGAGGCTCTGGAGGCTGGATTAACCCTCAGTATAAACATAGCAGTTTCTCTGAAACTGCTATGTTTATAAAAAAAAAGGGTTAATCCTAGAGGTACCTGGCACCCAGACCACTTCATAAAGCTGAAGTGGTCTGGGTGCCTAGAGTGGTCCTATAAGGAATGAATGATGAAAATTTAGTCTCTAGAAGAGCTACATGAGACAAGTCTCTAAGACAAGACTTATTAGGAGAAATTATGTCACTTAAACTATTATGTAACCGTATGTAATCATAGGCTCGCTAAACATGAGGAGTTACTTAATAAGATCACGTTCACTCAAGCTAATAAACCTGGGAAATATTTAGCACAAGAGCCTAAAGAACTGCATAACAGGAATTTTATTCAGAAAATTAAAGATAACTCCGGGAATTAACATTATAAATCCGAAGACATAGCATCAGTTTTTAAGAATTTTTATACAAACGTATATAATATTCATAAACAGGGTTCTTCTTCTGATCAAAACTTATTGAGAGAAAAGATGAGATCATAAGCTTCTAAAAATATCTCTAAAACATCATCACTACAGAGAATTGAATTAGATCAGAAAATAACAATAGAAGAAATACTAGCCATTGATTCCTTTCCCATTGGGAAAAGTCCCGGACCAGACAGATTTACCATAAAATATTATGAACTTTTCCAACGAGAACTCTCCCTTTCCTAGCTGATGCTTTAAATTCTATTCTCGAGGGAAATAATTTCCCACCATCAATGCAAAGAATTGGCTATTCTTAATGGAAGTATTTTATGTCATCGGTCTAGGACAGGCTTAGGCAACCTTTGGAACTCCAGGTGTTTTGGACTACACCTCCCATGATGCTTTGCCAGCATTATGGGGAATGTAGTGCACAACATCTGGGGTGCCGAAGGTTGCCTATCCCTGGTCTTGGACCTAATTTTATCCATTGGATTACAGCCTTGTACTCTTCCCCGACTGCGGAAATTTAAATCAATGGGAGGTTATCAGAAGTCATATCAATGTCTAATTGAACCAAACAGGGATTTCCCTTGTCTCCAACACTTTTTATACTTACTACGGAATCCCTGTTGATTTATATTAGACAAAACCAGGATATATCTGGTTTTAGATCACAATCTCTTGAAATTAAAACTGCAATTTATGCAGACGACATCCTCTTCATTACCTCCAATCCTTTAAGTTCACTTTCATATTTATACAAAAGAAACAACGTCTACAGGTAGTGGCTGTCTAAAACAAGTAGAAGATAGCACCTTATGAGACACTCCAGAGGTGTCATGGGGCATAACCCCTAAATATACAAAAACGACAAACAAGATGCTCAAAACACCAAATATATGAGTATCAACTGGAAATATGGTTGCTGAAAAATAAATATAAATAAATAAAATAGTAAAGGTGGATAGTTCAAAAATTAATAATAGTAAATGGTCAGACAAAAGGGTAATACAAGCCAAATGGCTATCCTCCTGTCCTAGTGTCTCTAGAATAGTCTCTAAAGCTCTCAGACTTAGACTTTAATATAATCCTGGTTTGGTCAATATCTGAGATTAATATGGGCTATAAATCAAAAATAGATATAATGAGAGACCTAGGAAAATGCCTTACCCCTATGGTGTTCAAAAATAATCAGAGTAGCATGAATGTAATCATATTATACACCACTATCAATTGTCTTAGAATATGAATCACCTTAATGGGATAAATAGGGGTATTGAGCAAAATTAAAAAGTATATCAAGAAAAATGGTAACACCCCATCAAGTCAATAAGGCTATATATAGGATGATTAGTAATCAGTTTTATAAAAAAAAATGCTAGCAAAACAGCAACCCAGTATAACTATGCACTGGATATTTTGTGATTAGCTTAATCCAAAGAATGATAACAAAACAGCTACTCAATGTGGCTAAGCACTGGATAGTTTGTAATCGAATTGACAAAACTGTATCCAAAACGCCTTTAGTTACAAATGAGGGAATGTCTTAGAAAAAAAAACAAAAAAAAAAAACAATAATAGCAAAATGCTCAAAGAACTCACTTAAATAGAGTACAAGGCAATAACAGAAGTAGAAAGAAACAGTGTTAAAATAAAAGCGTGCTAATGTGCAGAACCATACTTTGAGTGATAGAGTGCCCTGTGAAGTGAGAAAGTAAAGGGAAAAGACCCCTCAACCCGACGCACGTTTCGATGCCTAAGTGATGCACCTTCGTCACTTTTTATTTTATAAATAAGGAAGAGTGTTAAAAAAAAAAATATAATATATATATATATATATATATATATATATATATATATATATATACATATATACACACACACACGGTTTTTTAAATTCTTTATTTTTATAGCGCAAGGAAAGACATACAGGCTTGTGATGTCACAACAGCAATGACAAGCTTATTGCAGACTCAAACATTTACACAGTGTCATGGCATAAGAGGAAGTTGCACATTTTTATATTTTTAGGAAACAGGCTAAGACATAAAGAGGATAACAAGATGTAAACTAGCCCTGCAGGTAGTAGGTTAAGCTGTAGATTCCAGCCTGTGTTGTGTACTGTCTCCATTTGTATTTTAAAGCAGGTATGCAATGCTAGAACAAGCTAAGTAGCATAGACAGGAATAATCATATTCAATGGAAATTGTACTACAGTACACACTGCAAGAACATAAAATAAGATAATGGTAAAATAAACTGATAGCCTCATGTTTAAATCGAGATAAGATGCTCATATAGAATAGATACAACAGTAAATAGTCGAGGCTAAAAGACGTTCAGTTGTAGCTGTTAGTATTAAATTAAGTACCACTGGAAAGGTCAACACAGAAAAAAAAAAATCACTTTGACCATAACAGATAGTAAAACAAAAAAATGAAAGGAAAAATTTGCTTTGTGTTGGTTATCAACAGGAGTTGAGCAGCTAGGAGTCACCCAACACCGCTAACCGGCCACAATGTGGAGACCTTCTCTTTGCCAAGCAACCTCTTCGGTTGCCTTCAGGTGATTGGAAGGATAGCTGATTGCCAAGCAGGTAGTTAGGGCACAGTCCACTGTGTTGCTGCCCCATAGCTCCCCAAGCCCAGGCCTTATCAGAGCCTGTCTCCAAAGTTCTTTGTGCGCCGAATGGCACAATCATGTGCCCCCAGGATCTTTGGTAGACATATGGCCCTCAGGGTAGATTGACGGTGGGTCGGATGTCCAGAAGAGCCGTGCGTTAGAACAGTTTTCAATTCGTAGCCAGAACACAGATTTTATCAAAGTTGGCTTCAAAGTGAGTTCTCCTCATCTGGACCTCCTGATACTGCATCGCAGCAGCCATTTTAGACCTGCCACGCGGTTCACAAGAGCAGCTGGAGTAGAGTCGAGTAGCTTTCCCAGTGGGGACCAGGATATCCCCCACTGGTCCAAAGGGGGAGGGGGGGTTAACAGGGCCGAATGTAGATGGGTCTGATGCATGTGAACTCCCCCAGCTGAGAGATCGGCCGCCTCTCCCAGCTTCTTGGTTGGCAGCCCGCTAGGCTTACATTTCCAGCAAGTATAAATGTGATGCAGTTCGAACCTGCAAGGTGTAGTCTGCTGTGGTGACTGACAGTTTGCTCTGTTTCTACATTACCCCCCCCCCTCCCCTTGATTGCTTTTTAAGTGGAAATAGCTAAAAGTGCAACAGCACCTATGTAGCAGAACCCCTTTGGCTGTCCCATTTATTTCCTTTTTATTGTTGGCACTGTAAAGTTTTCCCTGTGCCTGGATTATACAGAATTACATACAACTATATGTGGCCATACTTTGTTCGGTAGAAGGATATACCAGCTTGCATGTGAACTACTATATTCACCATACGAACAAAGTACCGAACAACCGGACCACCCTGGTGGGAAGAATGGATGTAATTGACCTCCCTGATTGCTTGTTACATTCCCTTGAACGCACGAACACTCTGCTATATTCCAATGGGTGGCCGCCATTTCAGCAGGCGAACACGTGTCGGCGGCCATCTTAAACCCGCGAACAGTGGTGTTTGGTCGTCGAGTGTCTGGAACTCAAAACGGACACTTGACTAACCGAACACCGCTAAGACCTCCAGGGCTGCAGAAAGTACCAAGGGAAACGCACGAATGGCCCGTCGTTCGGTAGGATGAATCGCACGAACTAGGGGGATTCATCCGGTTACCAACTTCACTATGGATGGTATAGCCTTTCGGGACTTTTGAGGCACGAACAGAGACCGACCGCAGGGCTAGATCTCATGCAACTATTTTCGGCTACTTAACCCATGCGGTCGGTCAAATCTTTACCTTCCCATAACTCCCGAACCCCTGGTCTGATCTGGGTGATTTTTGGATATGTTCCTCACCCAGATCAGATTTAAAAGGTTTATCTCACATATTTGGGGTACATCTAAGAAGTGGGGAAAAGTATGTAATGTATAATTGGGTTAACTGTTAATCTAAGGGGAGGAGATGTGTGGGAGGTAACGTCTATGGGATTGGTTACTGTACTAATTGTGGTGAATCCCTTGCATGGGAGAATCTCATAAAAGCAGGAATGTTGCCATTAAAGCTCAGTTCTACTCCTGATACTGTGTGTCGTCCAGTGATTGGGAAGGGTGATGGGATATTTTGGGATTTTATTGCTGATTGGGCTGGATACTCTCTTGGATCTATTACTTGTTCCTGCATTCTTTTGAAATATGAGTGGAGTT